GTAATGTCTGTGTATTGTGTTTTAAAATTTTACTAGGTGACATACACGCTTGATGAACCCAAATTAAATTCAGGTCATGTGAGGAAGATGCTGAAAATCAATATGCCTTCATTTGCATGGGAGCAAATAAGGATTTAGCTTTCACTCTAAAATCAGTCGCAAAGGATTGTAGCCTATGCCAAGGAAATAAATATATAGAGAAGAAGATTTTAGAGGATGTTTTAGAAGCAATGATGTTTTCATGAAAGCACAATTGAACCCAGTAGTTAACATTCTGCGGTGTTTTAATGCTTGATATTGACCACACAGTACAAAGGAAAACATGGGTTTAAGTGCACAATAAAAACAGCATGTTTTTCTTCTTTTTTTAAAGCTATCTTACAAAGCAGCTGGAGTTGCATGGCATTTTCATAGTTTGGGTTAATCCTCTTCCCCCACTCCTTCTCCTCTGTTCAATCTCAATGTCAGCTAACACCACTAAAAAACAGATGCTTGTTTAACTTTAGGTCAGCAGATTGTAAAACATAGCCTTTGGTATTAGGCTTGGTTTTCCTGTCACTTCTTCTAAGACTTGCTGTGTCTATTACTTTGCAGAATTTATTTTTGCAAATTTTTTCACCGTCTTCCTGGTGAAGGAATAATGTGTCTTGAATGTGTCAATAGGCAACACATCAACTCGCCTCATCAAATTTTCCTTGCTCTAGCCATCTTCAGAATCAGTTTTCTTTGGGGAAGATTAATATGCTAACATGAAACTGTATGTAGTCTAGTGGCAAAGTAGAAGTTATTATTCTTGTTGCTTAGATAGAACACAAACCCATCAAAACATGAAACATCAAACATCAAGTCTCTGAGATGTCTCTCTCCATTCCACAGATCTAGCTAAGTCAGAGAAACAGTGCAATACAGGCCACGAATGCTTGGATATGTGTTATCTGTGTGACACTGGGAAATGAGGGAATAATTGTTTTCTCCAACAGAACTTGGTTTCCTGAATGTATGTATGCATTCAGAGGCAGCTGTTACTTGGAATGCTGATTATACGTGGAAAAGAAGAACAAGCTAATGATGAGGAAGCCAACCCTCAGGCTTCTCACAGTAGCATAGCGCAGGGCACTGTGATGAGGAAAAGTGGTCCTCCTGCTACTGCCCCTGGATACTCTGAAAGTCACAGTGCTGTGAGAGGATTGGTATTATCTTGACGGCTGTCTGAGAGTCCACACTCCTGCATAGTTAATTCTGATGAACCTTATGTCTCCCATGCTTTCTCCAGATGTTCTTAGGTCTCTTTGCAACCTACCCCAGTGTCCTAACACAGCATGGATTTGGGCATGATAAGCAGTCACCAATCAATTTAGACACTGATTCCTTGTGATTCTCCATGGAATTCACTTTCTCAGAATAGCTGACTCCACTTCTAAAATATATTTTATTTTTAAAGTGTTAATTCTAGGGACTGGAGAAATGACTCAGTGGTTAAGAGCACTGGATGCTCTTACAGAGGACCCAGGTTTGGTTCCCAGGACCCACATTGTAGATAATAATCACCTGCAACTCCAGTTCCAGAGGACCCAACACACTTTTCTATCCTCCTCAGCTATTGCATGGCATGAACTTACATACATGCAGGGAAAAATCTTATACATATAAAAATAATAAAAATAAAATATTAGAAAAAAATAAATCCTGAAATAAAAAATATACAACTCTGGGCTGGAGAGATGGCTCAGTAGTTAAGAACACTGACTGCTCTTGCAGAGCACCTGGGTTCAATTCCCAGAACCTACATGGTGGCTAACAATCATCTGTAACTCCAGTTCCAGGGGGATGACCTCTGTGGGCACTGCATGACATGGGTGCACTTACATGCAGGCAATACACTCATATACAAAAATAAAAAATAATAAATTAATTAAAAGAAATTATACAACTCAACATATACCTTATAATGTAGGTTGTAAAATCCCAGACAATGTCAAGGATTAAAGTCATCAAAGTTTTTTGAGAGGAAAATCTAGATCAGAAATGCAAACAGAACCTAGGTGATGTGAAACATTGTGACATGACAAAGATTTTGATGTCAATCTTTCCTGTCTCTGAGAGGCAGCATGGGGGATAGTAGGGAACAGATGTTACCAGGGGGAAGGTGGGGAAAATGAGAGTGTTCGACTGGGAGATGAGGAAGGAGGGACACACAGGGGACCATGGTAGGGGGGGAGGGAACACAGGAGGGGGGAATGGTAGGAGGCAGGTGATGGGGGAGGGTGGAGCTAATGGGGGCTTTTGGACTGGGGAGGGAGGGATGGTAGATGTGGGAGAGAGTAGAAAAGAATAGATCTTAGGGGGCTAGGGAAGCCAGAGGGAAATGTGTTGCCTCTGGGCCCCCCTAAGAAATACACATTTGGTGTCTGAACATTAGTGCATATACCTGGGGACTCTAGAGCAAAGAGCACATTGCCAGACAGGAGAGACCTCCCTTCAAGTGGTTAGTAAGAGTAGTCCAAGAGACTCTCCAAATAGCACAGGATATTTTCAGAACTCATGGTTATCCCCTAGAACTGGAAGATAAGACCCCACTGCTGAAGACAGGACATACTTTGGACACAGGACTTGGAGGAATGGTACAGGAGCTTACAGAAAACATTCTACCTGAAGTTTAGCTCTCAGAATTCCAGAGGATAATATGCTAACTGCTAAAGGAGAAAGTCAATCAATGGTCCAAGCCAGGCCCAAAGCCTAATAACCATAATGACTGGCATAGTGAACTACCTTTACTGGTACAGTAGTGGCACTGTTATCTGAGGGGTAATCAATAGTTATCTAATTGAACTTAAGGCTCTGTCAACAGGGGTGAAATCATGGCTGGCATTGTAAACACAGCCAAATACACATGGTTGGAGAGGACATAGATCCTAGAGAAAACCCTATCTCTGTCATATCTCTAGACAAATGAAATTTATTCCCAGGTGCTAAATATGAATCTTTATATTTACAGACAAGTGTATCATACATCACTCATAAAAGAAGCTTCTTTTTGTGACAGATGGATGCTGCTGCAGAATCCCACAACTGCTCATACACAGAGATATACATCTGAGGAATGTCCAGTCCTAGGTGACATATATAGTTGAATCTCTACACCTAAGGTTCATGGAGCACAGTGGAATGGAGGGTAGAAAGAAAGCTGGTGCATCCCTCAATTCTCACCAGTGAAGTTTCCTTATACAACAGAGTGCGGTACACACAGAGGCCACAACTGACTAACTTTTAAAGAATAAGAGAGTGCAGAGTGTGTGCTCCTGGATGGGACTCCTACATTAAAACCCACCCAGCCACAGCTCAGGGGCCATTGTGGAAGAGGGGAAAAGACTTTAAGAGCCAGGGTTGGTTCATGAACATAAGGAAAAGGAAGCAGAGGCTTTTGGGCCACTGGAAGCTGTGCAAGTGAGCATGTGGCAATGGTGGTGACAAGCACAGGACCCACACCAACTCAGTCAGACGAGAGCCCAGAGTGGAGTGAGGGAAATGGGTGGTGGGTGGGCCCTAGTCTGGGAACTGTTGGAGACTGATTGCTCCTGGGTAAGGGAGAGTAGACTTTACTTATAATCGCTAGACAGACTGACTAGGCTCCAATGAATGTGGGGCTTAAAACAAGTCCCATAACCTCCCACACTCCTAAAAATCAGAATGAGTATGCTCACTTTTCTCAATGATCATATGATAGGAAAAACATTTATATCTTCATTTTACTGATGATTATACCTAAGCGGAGATTATTTGTAAGAGTCCAAGATCACAGCTATGTGAAGCAGTGAATCTGATTTTCTACCTTGGTAGTCTGACTCCAATAGCCTCTCTCTAAAGCAGTTATATTATAGAAACTGAAAACAAATAAGATTCCTATCTTGAGCTATTTTAACTTCTGTCAATCTTTAAAACAAAGTCATCAAAATGAATTACGTAGAAAAACCCCTAAATATTTACTATGATGACTTAAGTCTACAATAGGAATCACATGTTCTTTAAAGTGACCAAAACATTTAGAATATTAAGACTATTTAAGTTAAATAATATTTAAATATTAATTAGACCCAAGAGAACAACAATATACATATCTAACCATGAGACCTATGTCTGAAAAATGTTTATAATGGACTAAAAAACTTGTAACAAAGCAAATTTCTACATTAAACCTACATTACCTTCCTGAAACAAATTTTCAGTTTAGGAGAATGTAGGACAATGATGTTTTCTATCTATGAGAGATGTGGGCACATGTAAGTACCATTTGCCCGAGTGCCAGTCAGCATCTAAAGAAAAAATTATACATATCTATGTATATTCTTATTAGTTACTAGACTTTAAGGAGTATTAGCTTCCTGAAGTTCCCAACAAAAGGCCTGGATGGCTTTAGTAGGAAAATTTGGCATTTTTATATATACAGCTGACTTTAAAAATGAATCCATAGTGGTAATGACTCTAGATATAATCAAGATACAACAAATGATTTACATACTCATTTGTATATTTTGTGTATTAGTTTAAAATTTTAATAACAAATGAAAAACATGAAAGTAAACAAATCATGGAATACTTAAAGAGGGGGTGTTTTTGTAAAGTATGAAAAAGAATATGTGCTTTTTATATGCTTGAAAATGAGAGTGTGGCTCCATTCCATATCAGCTCTGAAATGCCCTAGGTTATAGAAGGATTTAAGTTCAAGAATTAATTTGAACTGTTTTACAGAAACTTTGTTTCTATAAAACATCATCAAATTCCTTCATCAGCATAAAACAGTGCTTTCTTGTTCGACTCTGGCCACAGGATTTAAAAGCAACCTGAATTTCATTAACCACAAGCCTAGAGCACAAAGACATTGGTCAATATATTAAAAGAATTGCGGCCAGTGGTATTAAACCTACGTTTTGTTTTAGCTTTAAGAAAAAAGAAACTGTTCAGATATGAAGAATTTTATTTCAATCACTGCAATCATCACAATAATGGCAGAAATTGCTCTTGGAACTTTTGCTAATGTCTTCATTGCATTGGTGAACTGTACTGACTACCACAAGAGGAAAAAGATTTCCCTAGCTGATCAAATTCTCACTGCTCTCGCTGTCTCCAGGATTGGTCTGCTTTTGGTAATATTAACAAATTTTTGTTCACCCATGATTAATCCAGTTTTATATGCTAAGGAGACAAGATGTATTATTTCCTTTATCTGGGCAATAACCCACCATTTGAACACCTGGCTTGCAACTGTACTTAGCATATTTTATTTGCTCAAGATAGCCAATTTCTCTAACCTTATTTTTCTTCACTTAAAGAGGAAAGTTAAGAATGTCATTATAGTTGCAATTTTGGCAAATTTCCTGTTCATGATTCATATTCTTATGATGAAAAACATATGTGAGGTAATCAAAGGGAATGAACATGAAATCTACTTGTTAAATAAGACCAAACTGAGTAACATGGTAAACCTTACTCTTATGAGTATATTCACTCTAGACAATGTCATTCCTTTTATTACATCCCTGATCTGCTTTCTGCTGTTAATCTACTCTCTGTGTAAGCATCTTAGGACAATGAAGATCTATGGAAAAGGAACCCAAGATGCCAGTACTATGGCCCACACGAAGGCTTTGCAAACTGTGGTCTCCTTTCTGTTGTTATTTGCTTTATTCTTTTTGACTGTAACGGTGTCAGGTTGGAATTATAAGACATCTCTGAGTGAGCCCATCCACTTGATTTGCCAGGCTATTGGAATTTTATACCCCTCAAGCCATTCGTTTATCCTAATATGGGGAAACAAGAAACTCAAACAAGCATTTACATTGGTAATGATGAAGGTGAAGTTCTGGCTGAGAGAAGGAAAAACCTTCTTCAATCGATAACAGATACATGGTGTGACTACAGCAAAAATCAACGCAACAGAATCTGTAACACTTTATGATTCATATAACTTTTTAAAGCATTGGTTATGTGTGAATTATTTCTAAATAAATATCTAGAAAATTTTTACCTAAGCTTATTAGATTAGAGATCATTAGTATTTGTGTGCATTTGTAAAAACACAATAAAATGTGTACATAACATGCTTTAATATCATTTTCATGTAAACCATGAAATTATGCAAAACATGATAGATAATTTTCACAATTATGAAGCCAGGCATAGTTGACATAGATGCAAGTTTATTCTCCACATAATAGACTTCAGATCTACATTTGTGCACTGTGTGGAACTGTTAGCATATTTCAGAACATCATTACTAATTCCCATTATTTTTTGCACCGTGTTAAATGTATTAAATCTTATTTAGATTTCTGTGTTTGAGTTACCACCTCTTTTGGATGTCAGATACATTCAATTCTAAATCACGTATGAAGATTTATGTCTGAGTTAGATTTGGGGGCGTAATCTTGCTTTCATTTTACTAGACAGTAAACAGAATTGTTATTAGAAAATATGCAAAAATACAAACAAATAAGGACAAAAATATTTATAGAAAATTTAGTGTTTGAGTACCATATGTGGTGTAGAGGAGTATTAGACTGAAAACACATGGTTCAAAGCTCAGGGAAATATTGATCTGGTAAGAAGAGGGAAGTGGTACTCATGATGTCCTGCTTTCAGTGCTGTTGAAAGTATCCACAGGCAGTTAGGAAACCTGTTTAGTGTATTTCTTGGAATAATGAAGACTATTTCTGAAGTGAAGATGAGATTTTTAAAACACCCAGTGTTGCTCGATAGAAGAGACCTCCCTTAGAGTGACAAGCACACCTGTACAGCACTCATCAAAGAAGTTTCCTTTTGCAAGAGATGGAGGCTGCTGCAGAGTTGCACATCTGGTCAGGCACAGAGAACACAAGCCTGGGACATGCCTAGTACTAGGCAACACATCTGCAGTTTAATCTCTACAACTAAGCCTCATAGAACATAGTGGAATGAGGGATAGAGAGAGGGCTAATGTGCCTCTCAACTCTTACCAGTGAGACTTCCATGTATATCAGTGTGATGCACACAGAAGGCAATAACTGGCCAAGTTTTGGAGAATAAAAGACTTTAGAGTGTAGGACGAACTCCTATATGGAACCTCACCCACCTACAACTCAGGGACCATTGCGGAAGAGGAGAGCCAGGGCTGGTTCATAGAGAGGTGGATGCTTCCAGGCCACTGGAGGCTTATTCAGGTGAGCCTGTGGAAGTGGTGGAATCCAGCACAGGACCCATGTCGACTCAATTAAACAAGGGCCCAAAGGCGAGGTGAGAAGCAGGTGGTGGGCCAGCACTAAATTGAGAACTATTTGAGACTTATTGCTGCTGGGTGCGGGAGCATATGATATACATATGACCACTGGATGGGCTGACTAGACTCCAGTAGACACATTTACACTGAAGGACATTTGGGTACAAACACTTGAATGAATAGGATTCAGCATGTATGGCAGAGTGCATAGGGTTCAGTGGGGGGATGTGGGAGGCATGCATGGGGGAAGGGGTCTGGATTTGAGTGGAAAATGTCATATGAAATGTAAAAAGCTCAATAAAAAAGAAAAAAAAATCTCAGCGCTTTCCTAACCATGTCTGGGCCTGAATGTCAATTATTTCCTCCATTCTTAAAATTCATTTAAAATTTAGCATATGAAACTGTAAAATTCCCTACATTAACATGCTGACTGTAAAAAGAAGATTGATATAACTAACTTCATTCATGAATCTTTCAGTAGTCAGTAAAATGGAGCTATGACATGTATATGGTATACAAGATAATTACAGGGATCTTCGTTATTTAAATATTTTATTTATTATTTTTATTTTGTGTATGAGTGTATTGCCTGCATGTATGTGAGTGCACATGTGTCGTGCAATACTGCGGAGGTCAGAAGAGGGCTTCTGATTCCCCTACTACTGGAGTGAAGGACGGTGTGTAGCCACGATATGGGTGCCGGGAATTGAACCCGGGTCCTCTGTGAGAGCAGTCAGTGCTCTTAACCGTTGAGCCATCTCTCCAGCCCCACATGGAACTTCTTAAGGACCTGGTTCAGTAACATCTTGTGTAACATGTGGAAAAGAGAAAAGTGTACTGATAAAATCATTAATAGAAAGTTTTGGCCTGTAGAGACGGCTTAGTGGCTAAGAGCACTGGCTACTCTTACAGAGGACCTGGATTCAGTTCCCATCACCCAAATGACAGCTAACAGCTGTCTGTAACTCCAGTTCCAGGGGATCTGATACCCTCTTCTGACCTCTGTGGGCATAAGAGGACATCGGTGTACCCACCTACTTGCAAGCAATACATTCACACGTGTAAAATAAAAATAATGAATAAAAACTTAAAAAAGAGAAAATTCTATTATTTTTGTAATTTGATTGACAATAAAATATTGACCATAAATTTTATCATATTCAGACTCCCTTCCCCATCGTCCAACTCCAACTTTACTAACCCCCGACTTCATATTCTCTATTGTCGTTTCATTTCTTATTGAATTTTTGAGATGTTCATACAATACAGTTTGATGGTATTTATATCTCCTCCACTATCTATACCTCCCTCCACTGCCAATTGACCAAATGTGCAGAGAACAAGAGATCACAGAGTGCATATCCCTGAACAGGACACCTGTTTGAGAACTCTGTCCCCCAAGTCTCAGGGATCATTGAGGAAAAGGAGTTAGAGTCATTGAAAGAGACAGAAGGGGTGAATGACCACAAGGAAACAGAGTCTAATTTTTATTTTTTTAAGGGCTATTGAGTCTAATTTGTGTTTCCAAATGCTCTTCAGTATTGATCCATCCCTTGGGGACTGGTCAGTCAACATAGCATCATACCCTTAAAGAAAATGACTGCCTATCTCCCAGCCTCTATCAATTGCCAATAGGTCTTCAGCTACTTTGGGGTTTCTATTATAGGAAGAAAATATACAACCTTGTACAACAACTCAGTTGGATGCAACTATATTAGCTTGGACACTGTGGAATTATAACACCATTTTCTAAAACACAGACTATACATCACTGAATTGTGCTTATTGTTAGTCTCTCTCAGTTTCATTGATGTTGAATTTATAGTTGTCGTGTTTAGTGGTTTTCCTTCCAGACACCTGAAAATCAGTACATAGAACAGTTATCAAAATTATGTTTTACTTAGTTAATATATGGAAGTGAGTGCATGAAAAATTATATGATGATTGGTAAAAAAACAAAAATTACAAACAAAACCCACCACAAAATCTTCATGGTACATGAATTTCTTGCTTCTGAATTTAAGTTGGGGTTATAGTCTTCTGTAAATAAAAGCATTTCCCAAATTCTCAAATGACTATGAAGCAAGTTTAAAAAGTCTAACAAGTCTAGGGAAGAATATCACTAAATGTAACCATGATGCAGCTAGGAACAAGCAACTGGACACACACAAATTAGATAGCACTTATGATGAGGCAGCAGTATTCTAGCTTTGCTCTGTTTTCCTGAGACAGGGTCTCCCTGCAGAACTCATCATGTAGACTAGGCTGGGCTCCATCTCACAGAGATATGCTGACTCTGCCTCCTGAGTGCTGGGGTTAAAGGCTTGTGCCACCATGCCTGGTAGACAGCAATTTATTAAAAAGTACAGATGACCTTATGCTTAAAGGGACCTAATGCTGGTTTTGGCCCTGTACTCCTGACATTTTGTGTTGTAGACCCAGGTGATATTCTGATAAACTATGAATGGTCTTATAATAATTCAGTAGTGGTGTGGTCGCTGTTTTCATGATTCATGCCATTCACATGTGCGATGTCTTTGCCCACTGCCAGGGCTTCTGTAAGAATTTGGTTAGAAGCCATTTTCTGTCCTAAAATTCCACATGGGTGTGTTGTTCCAACATCTTTTCTAATTAACCTTTTTTGTTTGTTGTTTTTCATTTTTATTTTATGTGTATGAGTGTTTGCATGTCTTTAAGTGCAACAAGTCCATACAATGCCTGCAGAGGTCAGAAGAGGGCATCAAAGTCCCTGGAGCTAGTGATGCTTGTTAGCCATCATGTGGGTGCTGGGAACTGAACCAAGGTCCTCTGCAAGAGCAGCCAGTGCTCTTAAGCACAGAGCCATCTCTCCAGCCCCTACTTAAACCTTTTAATTGAAAATTTGTAAACTCACAAAGGAATGAGCAAATAGCATTTGTGACGTTAATGAAGATCTTCTCCTGAGGCGTCTATAATCAGAGCTACTATCAGAAATTAAAGTAATGACATTTCTTTAGGAAGGCAAAACCGTGCCATACATAGAAAAGACATATGGAAATTGAGCAAAGAAAAAATGTGAACCAGCATGAAAGACAATTCTGCAATGGCCACTTCAGAATGAACTGGAGGGCGCTAGAGTGATATGCATGCGTTGCAAATGTTTTTGCCACTTATGTACATTTCTTCTTTTCTAGTAACCGGAACCATGAAAGAATACAACATACCACTTATTTAAAAACGATATTTGCTAGTATTGATAATTTTACTGGAATCTTTAAAACATCACTGATGTTGAGGTTCCTTGAGTTTACTCAAGCTACAAGAATCTACATTTATTTATTTATTTATTATTTATTTATTATGTCTTTATTTTGTGTGTATGAGTGTTATGCCCACATGCATGTACATGCACTGTGTCCTGCAATGTCTTCAGAGGACAGAAGGGGGTGTCAAATCCCCTAGAAATGGAGATACACTGCCATGTTAACTGCCATGTGGGTGCTGGGAATCGAACCTGGGTCCTCTGCAAGCACAGCCAGTGCTCTAAACTGCTGAGCCATCTCTCCAGGTCCACTTACATATGTCTTAATGTGTCAAATATTACAGTCATAATATTTGTATAGAATGAATATATGCTTTAATATTTTAAGATATGAGTGGTAGTCG